CTTGTGTTTTAAGAATTTTACTCATGTCCATCTATTGTAATCATCAATGATGACAAGTCCATATTTATTAGGGAGAATTTATGATTCTCTAGGATATCCCTGGAAGGTTTTGAAAGGGAATTCCAAATTTGGAGTTGGAAGACCTTGAAGAAATTTCAGACATAACGTCTTGACATCTTTGTATTGAGAATTTATTTTTCTCAATATGTTTGGCTGGTGTTTCTCATAAACAGGGTGAAGGTTGTTTACTCTAACTTGGTACTATTGTCAAGTCTATGAGAACATTGAACTCTTGTTCTGTTGTACGGAAAAGCCATCCAAGAGGTTGTGTGCAGTAGTGGTGTGAATCATCTAGTGGTTGATTGGCGTCTACGCTTGTTTTATGAATGTCATCCAAAGTGTTTGGGATGAGCTCTTCTAGTTTTTGTAGCCTGAATAATTGGAAGAAGCAAATTGTGGTATGTTAATATCCTGATTGATGTATTCTGCTCCAAATACGTGTTAGAGGAAATCTCCTCTTTAGGTGCAGAAGGATGGCATGTATCACCTCAGAGTCAGACAAGAGGTCTGGACATTGTGCTATGGAGAAAAGGCTTCTTGAGGTGTGTTGTATGCAGAGTACTGCATATGTTTGTTGATAATGAAAAATTATATCGTATATTTGACTTGACTCGCATGCATTTTAGTACCATTTTTGTTTATTTATGTATTGTTATGCTGATATTGCTATTCTATTTCAGGTACATTCTAACACAAAGCTCACATGAAATAAAGAATGAGAAATGGCGAAGAAATGGAGAAGAATGTAAGAAAGGAGCAAAAGAGTAGAAAAGTCCAAATTCTAAAGATGTGGCCCTCACCACAGCTCCCTGCCACGTGTGGCCCTCGCCACACACATTGTGGCCCTCGCCATTGCTAGCTTTTCCACGTCCTCCATAATTCTACAATGTGGCCCTCGCCATATGTTGTGGCCCTTGCCACATTCCTAATGCACACCAGTTTCCTAATCTTTCTCCAAGAGCCCAGTCTTCTGGATTTTTCTCCACGGGACAACTTTTCCTGATTTTTCTCCATGAACGTCGTGAAAATATAGGTCACTAGCAGAGAGATATAAAAGGAAGGGAAGTTCTTTATGGAGGGGGTCGTCGTTTTCCATCCAGAGTATTTTTCTTAGAATTTTTAGGCAGAGAATTTACCTCTAAAAGTGATAACTCTTCCACATCGGGGGACTGTCACAACTCTAGTTTTAGGTTTTTTAATTTCATTATGTACTTGGAATATCAGGGTCTAAATCTGGCATCTCGGCTGCACTCCAGGCGAACAGATCGACATTGTCCCTCAGGCAAGCTTTCATTTGCCTTTTCACCATGTCGGGGAGGTCTGCTCCGAATTTCACCCCCTGGTGGGGTCTTCTTCGAAAGGAACTAGCTTGAAGTCGCCATCCGGGATGGGCCGTGTGTGACTTGAGAGTTCGTTGTGGTCAGTGGAAGAGGTTTTATTCTTTATCTTTGACCATTGGCTCCTTCCCTTTCCTCCTTTGCTCGACCTGGACTTCCATAGAGAAGCAACTGTCGAGGTCAATGGTGTCAACCCTCGGCAGTGTCTTGGCTTCCTCGGAGTCAGAGGGCTATGTGGCTCCAGTGTTCGTCCGAGTTTAGGCGTTGATGGAGATGAGGCCCTTGGCAGAAGCTTCGAAGCACCTCCTGGCTGCTTGGATGTCCCTGTGATGGGTGGAGACCAAGCCCTCGGTGGTGTAGTATTTCATCTTGAGATGAACGGTAGAGGGGACCGCGATGAGCTCGGTGAAAGTGGGCCTCCTAAAGATGCATTGGTAGAGAGATGGGAAATCTACCACCAAGAATTGAGTCTTGATGGCTCTGGATGTTATCCCCCTCCCAAATGTGACGATCAACTCTACATATCCCCATGGCTTCGTGTTGGCCCCGTTGAAACCCTGAAGATTAGAACTCATGTAGGGGGTTAGGTGGCTCTCGTTCAATTGTAAGGTGTTGAACAATTGGGCGTACATGATGTCCACCAAACTTCCTTGGTAGACCAAAATACGATGCACGTCAAAGTTGGCCATCCGAGCTCTCACGAGTAGTGGGATGCTCGAATTCGGGGGCCCTCCTGGTAACTCTTCCCTGTAAAATGCGAGGGGGTGAGATCCTCCTCGAAATTTGTCGAGCATGGCGTCCATTTCTGAGTTTGCCTCGATGAGTTGGTCGAACCTTCTCTTCACCGATCCAACTGTGTGCCTGTTGAACCCTTCGTCGGAGATGACCATGGCTGCAAGGAAGGATTCCCACGGACTGTGGCAGGAAAAGTACAGGGGGGCGTTCTCCATGTCCAAAAAGTAGAAGTCTTCCGACCGTGAGATGCTCAAGGCGACCAGAATAGGGTCAAGGTCGGGGGATTTCTTCCCTTCCTCGACACTCTTGGTTTCTGGTGCTTCGTCACAGACACTCTCATTCTTCTTATATTGCTTGAGGTGCCCATGTCTGATCAGTATTTCGATTGCATTCTTGAGATAAATTCAATCCTCTATGTTGTAACCGTGACTCTTGTAGAACCTGCAGTACTTGCTCTTGTCTGTTCCTGGCTTGGACGGTGTTTGTCGGGGGAAGCGCACCCTGGATTGCTTAAATTCAGAATTAGCGCATTCGGAAAGAATACGATCTCTTGAGGTTATCAGAGGGATGTAGTCGTGGAAACGACCGACTAGCCCCTTGTAGTCTTTGGGATCATAGGGTTTGTCTTCTCGTTTCTTCTCACCCCGACGGGATGTCGAGGGTTCATCATTCTTTAAGGATTTGGCACTCCCTTTGTGCCTAGATTCTCGGGATCTATTAGCTGCTTCCTTCTCCTCATACTTTATGTATGCTTGGGCTTTTAGGAGAAGGGAATCGATCGTGGCTGGTGTTTCTATGCCCACAACCTTGGAAAATTCGCTGCGGGGACGCAGCATGCGCTCGAGGAGGTATTTCGTCATATTTTCCATTGTCAGGACCTGGACCACTTCTTTGTTAAAGCGTTCAATATAAGCACGCAGAGACTCGTCCCTGCCTTGTATGATCGCTTCGAGCGAAGCTTCTGATTTAGGGTGTCTACAGGAGGCGGTGAAATGCCTTGAAAATATCCTCCCGAGTTGTTTCCACGAGGTGATGGATTCATTGGGAAGGCTCTTGTACCATGCCATCGCCCCCTTCCTGAGAGTGGTTGGGAACAGTCTGATTTAATGGCTCCCCTGACCCCTCTATAGTTGAGGAGAGCATCGATGTTCTCGATGTGCTCGTCAGGGTCTGTTGTTCCGTCGTAGGTTCCTAAAGTGGGCGGCTTCTCTAGGAAGATAGGAAGTGGAGCTTGAGTGATCTCTCTCGATAGTAGGCCACGTGGGTCGTTATCCTCACTATCAATGGGAGATGGAAGAAGGGAGTGATAGTTTCTCCCCCGTCAGTTGTCATGGTCCCGTCGGGGTGGGAGGAGAGGGGAGGGGCTCCTTTGTTTCTGCTTTGGCTCAGGAGAAGGCAGTCGAGCTCTGTCGATTTACCTGTTGTCCTTCCTCTTCTTGAACTAAGGGGAGTCTTGATCTCTAGGAGGAGGTGTGCAATTACGTTTCTTGAAGAAAGAAATGTAACGCCTCTCCTTTTTGGGCAGTGGGCCATGCCTGGATGGTGATGCACTAGGGGAGTTTCATCGTCGGGCTCTCCGAGGAGGAGATCTTGATAGCCTGTTCTCCCAGGCACCTATCCTTTGATTTTGCTGTAGGATGAGGGTGTTGGTTTGATTGATAGCAGCGAGCAGCGCTGCTATGGCCGGATCGGCGTTGAGAGGGATAGGAATTGGTTGCATGGCTACTGGCAGTTCCTAAGCAAGATTCTTGGGATGTTCCTTGTTCAAGAATTAGTCGTCGCTGCGTCGGGCATCTGTGGAATATGGAGACGCGGTTTGTCCGTCCCAAAAGCCCAGGTTATCCTCGAGGTGAGGGTGTTCCTGACTTCCGTCGGTTTTGTAAGCAGGGGAAAGAATGGTCTTTCTGGACATGTGAAGATTATCATGGTCGACCATGGTTAGAGAGATGAATCTTGAAAAAGTTGCTTTGATCTTAAGTTCCGAGGGAAGAAAGATGGGGAGAGCAGTTTCTCACAGACGACGCCACTGATCTTGCCGGTAAATCAGAACCTGAAGAGCGGCCGAAGGATGATTTGCAGTCGGGCTGTAAGCTGAGGAGAAAAGGAGGTTGTACCTGCAAGGCACTCCGACGATCAAGTAAGAGTGGGAACAGGGAGGTACAAGCAAAAATACCAAGTAGTGAGTACTGAATATTGGATACCTGACCCTCACAGGTGTGAGAGTTTATATAATGTCCCTAGCGCGTGGCCATTGGTTCCTGATTTTTCGTCTAGATATGCGGGTCCGTGAAATCAGGTAACTTCCAGGACTTTGTCAATCCGGGAAGATGTGCTCGTAACTAGCCGTTGGTCCCGAGGAGAGAGTTAGTCACAGGCATCTCTCTGATTGGTTCCTGATGGCCTGCATGACGTCGATGTCGGACAGACTGAAAGGATGTTCGTCGGCCACCCTGGATCAATACTGGTTTGAGAGGGCAAGCAGCTAACATTGCCCGACAGGTAGCGGGCAATCCGGGTCAAGGTTGTGCAGATCGTATTCGAGAGAATGTCTTATACTGGGCATATTCTAATTATCAGACCAGTCCAAAACACAATCAAAATATCATCTCACTTTCATCTTACTTTCTTTCCTTTAACTATCTTTCCTTTCACTTTTTTTTCTTTTTGTAATCCAAACAAATACTTAGAGTAAATATTTTTCCAAACTATAATATTTGAAAGAGGTAAATAATAATAGGGGTAGTTTTAGGCTATTATCATTATTGAAAAATGTGGGAGTGACAGAATCAATTTGAAGGTGCAAGATAGATTTTTTGTAAAACAATTTCCTCAAAACGCAACGTTTAACAGAGACGTCGTCGCTCAACGATGGCGAGCACCCACCCCCACCACCACCACCACGTACTGCAACTAGTCCTATCCTGCCGGAAAATAACAGCGCAGGTAACAAACACCACAAACTCATCCATCATAGCCATGGCTTCTTCTTCGGAGCAAGAATTTCTCGCTCACTACCGATCCGTCCTCAATCGCTTCCCAAGATCACACCGATTCTGGAACGCTAAAGTCGCTTCTCGTGTTGGCGAGAAACTAGGTTTCCGTCTCAGAGAAATTGGCGTCACCGGAGTTCAAATCGACGCTAATGAAGAGCTATCGCGTCCTCCACATTATCGCAAAATGGTTTCCCCTTTGTTTCGTTCCGTTCAAAGCGCCGGCGTTCGCATTTCCGGTGCTGACAATTTCCCTTCCCTATGATTCAAAATTTGCTTACTATACTTATTTGTTTTTTTGAGAAATTGAAATGTTAAAATCAAAATTTTGATGTGTTTTGATTTTGGTATGTACTTGTAAAATGTGTTAGAATTATTGAAGATGGAAATTAAGAGAGAAATAGAGTGTATTGTTTTTTAATATAATGGAATCGAGTGGAGCGGAATTCAATGGAATATGATGAAATGAAATGAAGTGGAGCAGAACGGAATAGATATAAGATTCCATTCTATTGTTAAATATTTTTTATAATTAGATGGAACGTAATAGAACAAGTGCACTTTGATGAATGTTATTTGTTTCAGGATGGTTGTTTGATATGTTTTTCAAAGGTGGTTTTACATCATCGGTTAATCTCAATATTAACTATACTGCTGGTTGTGATTTGAATGAGAAGTGCAATTCTTGTTGGGCAATGGCGTGTTACTAGTCATGGACTTAGACCCGGAGGTATAGGGAGGTGCATAGCGAGTCAGTTTTATGGCCTCGTGCAACTTGGTATGCTATTGGAAATAATGTTAAGGAGCATGAATTAGGTAAGATTTAGTTGAGTATCATCAATTCGAGAAGTAAACAAGTATTCATTAAGTGGAAACCTCGTTGATTGGGTCAAATTTAACACTATGGCGTTAATAGAAGAAGGATGGTTGGAGTTATTCCTGGGTAAGACAGGAATTGGCTTGAGGGGTTTTTTAGATGTATTGGCAGTTGGCAACTTGTCATTGTCTTGTGTTTATAGAGGAATCATGGGAGGAATTTTGAAGGACTCTAGCTAGCTAGCTAATAGTAAAGATTTCAAGGTTGTGGAGTTATGTTTGGATTTTGAACCAGTTTATAAGAGTCTTTTAGTAGTGCTGTAACTGCTGTTGGATGGAGACTGGTCCAGAAACTTCATCTTCTTCTCGAGTTAGATTGAATTATTAAGGTGTGTCATTTCTATCCTGAACAAAATATGTATGCAGATGTTCTTGCAAATTTGGGGTGTAGCTATAGCAAAACTGGTGACATTGAGTTAATCATTTATGCGTGATAAAAAGGAAAGGAAAATTCGAGCATGTGTGATAAAATGGAAAGGAAAATTGGAGGGAATGCTTTCTCTAATGCTTCAAATCCCAATTTTGGAGGGAATGCTTTCGCAAATATGCTTCAAATCCTAATTTTGGCTGCTGTTATCAGATTTTCTTCAATGTTATGCAGTGAACCAATGTGGAACATAAACAATTGTTTCTGAACTCTGATCCTGATTTTTGGATGCAAAAGTTGTTTCTAAACATGCATGGTTAAACCCGCTGTCCCCGAAGAATTAGGCATATGAAGAGAAAAAATGAAGACAGTTACTTCACTTTTCCCCCGAGTTTTTTTTTGGTAAATGAGATGTCAGGTTTTTTATTGGTTGCATCTAACTGCTGACATGTTATGTACATAGAAGAATTTCTCAATAGCTTTTTTATTTGGACAACAACCGTTGTGATTATACTCACATGTGACAATGGCCAAGAATAGATAAAAGTGAGTGGAAATGACATGAAGTGTGTGTGTGTGTGATAATAAAAGTAGAGTGGAAAAAGAAAGAGCCAACCATGATTTGTTTGTTTGGTAAATATTAAATCTGAGCTTAAATTCATATTGATGTTCAGTTAGTTACTATGTTTGATTAGGTTGATGGGGAATTTGAGGAAATCATAATGAGTGCAATAACTCACACACCCTCATTGTCAATCCAAACATGGATAAATAAGTCGCTTAAATTTATTTGCTTTCTTTAAAAAGTGAAGGAAAAAACAACTTTCCGTTCATTGCAATTAACGTTTTCATTGATAAACTCGCCAAATTCTTCCAATCAACCCATAATTATCGGCTCTCTTGGCTATGCAGCGTTGTTTCTCACACCATTACGCCATTGATATCATCCTAAACAGCTGGACAAAGTACAAAAGAAAATAATTTGATGTATTTCAGTTTTTATTGACAGCGCTGAATATTAGTGCTACCATAGCACTAGTATTAAGGGTGGCAAAACGGGTTGTGACCCGCTGAACCGGACCACACACCTATTATAAAATAGCAGATTGGGTTGAGATTTTGAATTTGTAGTCCATCAAAATCTGCCCTATTAAAGACCGCTATCCGTCAAAATCCGTTCCGTTAAAATCTATCGTTCGTCAAAGTCTGCCGCACCTATTCATTTAGCTTGTCACATCTTAATCTCATCATTTTTTTAGTTAATTCTAATAATTCTAATTCTTCATGATTTTATTTTATATATTAATTTGTGAATATATGCAATATTTTTTGTAGTAAAATTTGTTCAAAAATATTTTATAAATATTGTTCTAAAATAAAAATGAAAAATCTAATTGAAATGTAAAAAAAGTCTATTAATCTATTAAAAAAATAGAAAAAATAAATAAATAAATAGGTGGACAAGTCCGCCGCCCGCCAATCCACCACCTTAGCGAGGCGAGTTAGATTTTTATGCCCATTTTCATAAGTTCCGCTCTTTTTTTGGCAGGTTTAAGGCAGGATGAGACGGGACGGAACAGACGACCTGTTTTGTCACCCCTAACTAGTATCATTACTACACAAATAATAACAAACATTTAATTCAATTCTAAAGCAATATGGTAGTGGCAAAATTTACCCACATGTATCGATTATTTAAATGTATTAAATTTGTTGTTAAATTCATCAAAACACAAAAAAAAAAATTAAGGGAATTGTTTATCACACTCTAAATGGTGGAAAAACACTGAAAGTTCTAAAAGTCCTTTTGATTATGGAAATATATTTTCGAACACAATTTGAGTCTCATCAAAATACGTCTCACTTGAGTCTATCCCATCTTTTTTCAAAATTTATCCCAAAGATTCACTCAATGCATTCCTCATTAAAAGTCACTCATATTGATATAAATTGATTCAGAGATGCATTTTCGTATTCACACTAGACAGGATTCAGAGATACATTTTTGTAATCTCACCAGACAGTAATATTTGACTTTGTTTTAAAGATATACTGGTTTAAATGACGACGTATTATTGCTATACTATCATATTCAATTTTATATAAATTAAACCATACATTAATTAAATAATATGAAAATGACATATATAAATGAATAAATCTGGAGCACACAATGAAGTTAAAATAAATTTCAAACTATAATAGTGCTTCTAATACAAATATCATCTATTACTTTGTATGACAGACTCAGACTCCCATGTTTTTACGCTGCCTCTTGTATTGCAGTGTCTTTCATGCCTCCTCCGTGATGATATCTAAAATGTCCCTCGCCTCAGAGCTTTCAGGAAAAACTCATCGGTTTATACTAACATACGGGATATCCAAGATACGGCGACATTTAGGCAACACATTAACAACATTATTTTCTCTAGCATGGTTCTCCTCCAGTATCTCCAGATGAGTTGTCTTAGGTGGATCTCCCAGAGCATCTGATATCATATATGGATGTGACATCCTAAAATACCATTGGGTGTAGCCTGTACAACACTCTAGTCGCTAAGAGTTATGGTATATTGTGACTCATGTTGTACCAAATGATTAAGCTAATCATTAAACATGACATATACATCACTCTGCATAGTGGGAGGAGCAGACTCAGAGGGGTCTCTAGGAACAAACTGCATGTAGTCGAATTGTCACATAACGCACTCTGGCATATGAGGATATATCATACGTGAACTACGAGCCTATCATTAACAGTAAAAGGTTGTGTCGTCCAAGGGATACGTCTCACGGTGATCGATGTACCCACGGAAATGTATATCCTCTAATGCCATGTAGTTAAGATACACTATGTATGACTATGTCGCCTGATTACTTCTGAGCGGGGCAAATGCAGAAGTACATGGAATATTTACCCTCGGTGTAGATAGGAACATATGACCAGCCAGATATGTGTGGGAAGTGATGGATAATCCAAGCCTGAAAATAGTATATATGAATCATTAGTAATGACATTGCAGAAGTGTTATGAAAATGACATACAAACACTAATAGATGCAGAAATATTATCATCAATGGTGTGACGATGCCTGTTATTTGTTTGGTCTTCCATATACAACCTTCATCTAACTTGGAGTACATATAGACCAAACAAGCGGCCCTTAGTTGTACTCTAGGATTCACTCAAAGTCAGTGAAGTATCTCAGGTAGCCCACATCCACATAAGCGACACTCTTGTCCACAAATAGATGTGCCAACCAAGTACAACAAGTTTACTCCCAATGTGTATGCTCTATGTTGTGCAACATGTTCATCATCATTAGAGGCATGCTCTACATCATGCAACTGTCCTGTATACAATCTCTATAGGAATCGAAACCTAGTATGAGCTCCTCAGGCGACTTCTAACTCTTGTAGGGCTTCCCCTAGGTCAACTCCCAAATGATGTACCATTATCTTCATTGTGTAATCTCTATTAATCCTATTATGGTATAACATTCTCCCTCATATCGGAAGATGCAGCAGGTATGAGACATCGTCCAATGTGATATACATCTCACTATGTGGAAGATGAAAATATGAAGTCTCTGAGTGTCATCTCTCTACAAACTCGAAGAACATACCATGGTTAATCGTAACATAACCAATTTTTAACAAGTCTCTCAGCCCAAATAGTTGCATCAGATCCTTAAACCACTACTCATCAGGCTGCATCAGACTAGTATACTTTCGTCCATGGTTGATGCATTTTAAAGCATCATGGTCCTGCAGAAAAATAAATCATCTTCAAAAGCTTTGAATATTATAACAAACATATTTCTCAAAGAATGAATACAATTGAATTTTACCTCTCTATCTCAATTATGTCTAGAAGCATGGTTCAGGTATAGAGGCAACAACAATAAGTGTTGAAACAAAATTGGTTTATATCATATCCCTTAAGTTTTGATGATAACGAAGTATTTAAAGAACAATTGGTTAGACTAACGTATGTTCAATTGTGCAAGTACAAAGATTAATATACTAATTGTAAGTTAGTTTTTAAACTGCACTAAACATTCAAAGAGAAGCTCTTAAGAGACAAATTTTAGAGATCAGACTCTGAAGAATCAACTTCTAATCGAGTCATCTTCTAATGATCAGAACCAAAAGTCTCTAAACTTTGATCAAGTCAGCTTCTGAAGATCAAGCCAGCCTCTGAAGGGTCAGAGTCTGAATGATCAAAAGCTAAGACTCAGACTTCGAAGAACCAAAACCTGAACCTAGTCAAAGCTAAATAATCAAGAATTATTTGATAGGTCGCTATCAGACTTTGAGGTTAAGTTGTCATGTTTTGGTCACATGAAGACTTAGCAGAAAGTTGGAGAATCCTGGAGTTTTAAAACTGATTATTCCTTTCTAGAAAAGGAGTTTCAAATGGGTTTGAAACAACATTAACCATATCAGGAAGCTTTGAAACAAATC